TCTAATTTTGCACGATTAGCTATTACGCTTGTTCATTTGAAAGAATTTCAAGGAGCCGTTGATAGTGCTCGTAAAGCAAATTCAACACGTACTTGGAAGGAAGTTTGTTTTGCTTGTGTGGATAGCGGTGAATTTAGACTAGCGCAAATGTGCGGATTACATATAGTCGTACATGCTGATGAATTAGAAGATTTAATTAATTATTATCAAGATCGAGGGCATTTCGAGGAACTTATTAATTTGTTGGAAGCTGCTTTAGGACTTGAAAGAGCACATATGGGAATGTTTACTGAATTAGCTATACTTTATAGCAAATACAAACCTCAACGAATGAGAGAACATCTTGAACTTTTTTGGTCTCGAGTTAATATACCAAAGGTATACTATTAATTACATCAAGAATATTTGAATATGAACAAATGTGAAAAAATATTGTTTGTATTAATAAAATTGACAGGTACTTCGTGCAGCGGAGCAAGCGCATCTATGGGCAGAACTTGTATTTTTATACGATAAATATGATGAATACGACAATGCAGTTCTTGCATTGATGCAACATCCCACTGAAGCATGGCGAGAAGGACATTTCAAAGATGTGATTACTAAAGTAGCAAATGTTGAACTTTATTATAAAGCTATACAGTTTTATGTCGAATATAAACCCCTACTTTTAAATGATATATTACTTGTACTTGCACCACGCATGGATCATACGAGAGCGGTCGCATATTTTAAGAGAACAGGGCATTTACAACTTGTAAAACCATACTTGAGGTCAGTTCAAGCATTAAATAATAAGGCAATTAACGAGGCATTAAACGGTCTACTTATCGACGAAGAAGATTATCAAGGACTCAGAACATCAATTGATGCATTCGATAATTTTGATAATATTGCACTAGCACAACAATTGGAAAAACATGAATTAATCGAATTTAGAAGAATTGCCGCATACTTATACAAAGGAAATAATAGATGGAAACAATCTGTAGAATTGTGTAAAAAAGATCGACTGTTCAGGTAAATTACTTTAAAATTTTTATTTTATGATTTTTATTAATACGAAATTCCTTTTTATTCGATTCTTTATTATTTATTTATATTTCCATTATTTTATGATTTAATTGTACTATTAACTAGAGATGCTATGGAATACGCAGCAGAATCTCGCAATTCCGAAGTTGCTCAAGAATTACTGGAATGGTTCTTAGAAAGAGGATCGAAAGATTGTTTTGCAGCCTGTTTATTTCACTGTTATGACTTGCTTCATCCAGATGTTATTCTAGAACTTGCGTGGAGACATCATATTTTACATTTTGCTATGCCCTATCTTATACAAGTCGCACGAGAGTATATCACTAAGGTAACATCACTTAAAATATAATATATCGAATTATTGACATTTTAAATTTATGTTAACATTCTTTCTTAATAGGTTGATAAACTAGAGGAAGCCGAAAGTCGGCGTATGGAAGAAACTGATCATCAAGAACACAAACCTATGATTATGCGTAAGTTTTTTATACCCGTTTTTATTATTTTAGAGAGAATCAATTTTGTAGATTGAAATGATAGGCATTTTTTAAGAATTTATTAGGATATAATATACTATAATAAATTTTTTTATGCATATATTATATACGAATCGTAAAAATTTGGCCTATGTAAAATGAACATTTTTTTTGCCAATTACATACAAAGTTAGATAATTTATTAGAATATTTCTAAAATTCCTAAATTGTTGAAGAATGCCTAATTTTTGTTGCATTATATAAAATACTTTCTTAACAAAGTATAATTATATATATACTTTGTGATATCGTACGCATTTTTATTTGCAGCCGAGCCTCAGTTAATGTTAACAGCAGGACCAGGTATGATGGCACCTGGTTATGCACCACAAGGTGTATATGGAGCACCACCACAAAACGTTTATGCACCAACCGCAGCGGCGTACCAGGCTTATGGTATGTGAAACACAATGTGCAACACATTCAATAACAGAGATCAACAAAATCTACTTTTCTATAATATCTAGGTAGAACAAGTATTTCAATAGCTCACAATTATTATTAAATGCTAAAATAACATCATTAAAAAAAAAGTGTTGCCGCAAAATAATTGTAACATAAATAAAAATAATGAATTCAAAGTAAACTACAAAATATTTAAGCGCGAATTTCTAGTTTATGAGTAACATTTATAAAATAATTAATTTACTGTTAAAGTAATTAAAGAGTACACATTGATTATTATTTACGAAAAAAGAAAATAATCATAATAAAAACAAAAAATACTTAAATATTTTGAGAATATACAACATATAATAAATTCTTAAACAAGTATGCAATAGTGATAATTTTAATAAATCATGATATATTAAAACATTCTGCAAATTAAATTGAATTATTTTGTTACTTTATAAAGTAACTACACATAGTTTCACAGATATATCAATGTATTGTGTACGTATGTGCCTTTTTTTAAGTATTGAAAAATGTTTAGTTTAAGATAACATAAAATTAACAATTTTAAAAACAAATACTTGTAAGTTTCAATTTAATAAATCTGTCACGAAATTACAAAGTGCTTCCTTTTTGGTATAAAAATGAAAATTGGGCTAAAAATATATAGGTGACTATTAAGAGAAATAATAAGTACTCAAAGTTGACATCTGTTCATGTTCATCAATGGAAAATGAAAAGTGGTGAAAATATTATTCTAATATATAATTTGTAGTAGTAAAAATGGATCTATTTATCTAGGTTCATTAAAAATGTTGTTGTCACAGTCAAATGTATGAGCCTCAGAATATCTAGCATTATAAATAATAATGAAAAAACGGCATATATCAGTACATCAGTATAACAATAATACAAAACAAAACTGGAAGTCTGTAAACTGTACGTAATGTATTTAGAAATTTAAATATAGTAAGATATAAAATACGTTTGTATGTCTGTCAGTATATAAGTTTAATATCTATGTGTGTTATTGTTGTGGCATGGATAAATAAAAAAGTTAGCATTTGACCAGGCAGCCAAAACGTGAAATATAGAATAGTAATGTTATACGCTCTCCTAAAGAAAAGACGAAAAAAGAATGATAATGAAGGTAGCTCTCTGATATATTCTCACTAGATAGAGGACGTATTTAATCCGTTGAAAATATAACAAACTTTATAACGATCTCGTCATATTGATGTATGGATATATGTACTGAACTTGTTTATGCTGGCTTACAATATTATGATCTTATCTTTTTTTCGTACACATTAAATTGAAACATTGTAACACTTGTAAAAAAAAATTCGAAGGTGTTATAAAGTATATAAACTAAGTAATAATTTTGTTTATTTTATTAACATGTTCAGTTTTTAGAAATATAATTTCAAGTCTTTTTTTACTTATTGTATTTGTTTTGTACGATGTATGTATAGTATCCTATTTGGATGTATTGTTCGTTATATCACTGTATTAATGTATAATGAAATTATGATACAAGTATTAATGCAAGTTGGGTAGTCAGATTCCAATGCATATGTAGAAAATGGCAGAATCGTATTTGTTGACGTTTTCTGCTTGTTAAATGATTCACATTGTCTGTATAAAATGCTCTATTAACAAATCAGGATCAGTGTACAAGATATATTGGAAAAAGAGTTCTTTTTCTGGCATATCTTACATTCAATGTTCCTAAAAGAGCTAGATTATTGCATAAGACATTTCATGTGACATTTTCTTCTATCACATATCTCAAAATGAACAGGAGATATGTACTTATAAATTATTCTCATTATTCATAAATATGAAACGAAAGTTGAAAGCAGAAAATTTTTAATATCGTGATGATAATGCAAGAGAATATTATTTGACTATTTGAGTAATATTCATTATAATAACTAATATCGATTATTGCGGACGACTTTCGTTTGATATTTAACGACTGCAGTAATTTTAACTGCATATACTAAATAAAAGGTGTTAAATTAGATGATACAAAGAAGAATCTGTAACATTCCCAATAATCATTTCACTTTCATTGAAATTATATAATGAATGAAACTGTAGATTGAAAAATATATCTAATCCTGTTCTACGAACAGATAGTAATGTAATTGTATCATTGTTTGGATATTGTGGATTAAAATAAAATAATAGTAAATTTAGAAATAAACGTACCGAAATTGGTCGTTAATTACACGAATATACATATACATGATCAAAATCACAGCTCTGTAATGTTGAAAGTCAGTATAAAATATGAGACATTTGTCGCTATTAAATTTATTTCAATAAACAACTGTATGACTTAAATGCGTAGTTTATATTAATTTTATATTCCTGTATGTATTTCATTGCCATAAGTGGGGCATACTTCTATTTTTTAAGACATTTTATCATCAATAATATTAATGCTTTATATATAAAAGCAATATTGCTTTAGCATATTATAAAGTTATATTAATAAATAAAATATAATAAATTCCTAGAAATCCTTTAATGTAGGATATCCTATTTTAATCTATATATACGATTATTTTTCAAACTATTTGTTACTTGAGAAAAAAGTTTTAAATAATACATTAAGATTATTTTCAAAGGGAAACATAAATTTTGTGGCAGAAATCTTTAAAATTTCAAGGATTTTAAAAATTTATCCATGATACTGATATACACCTTGTATCTACTATTGATCAATGTTAATGTTAATAAATTATTTTGTTTTCTAAAATAAACTATTGGTTCAATATGATTTAATAAGTCCATAGGCAGTTAGTTCTAGAGACTATAATGATTAAGTTATAATTCATTACTCAAAATTAATTTGCCTAGAAATTAAAACCTATTAACAAAAATTTTGTTTCTTTTTTGTTTTTTGTTACATTCATTTTAAGGGATATTTTTTATATTTGCTAGCATATAAACATTGAAAGAAAAATTTATTTTTAATTCTGTAAATTATAAATCGTACAAATAATTTTACAAAATAGTTTTTTCTTACAGTTCATATACACGTCCACATTTAAACTTTTTTATTGTTCGCTCGGTAGGTCTTATACAAAGATCTTTACCAAAGAATTCTAATCTTATTTCCATTAAATAAATATTTATAATAACAACATCCTTGGGTATTGCTAAAAATAAATATAAATGGTTTAAATATATTAAATTGTATCTAAAGAAATAATAATAACACCATGAAAAGATATAAAATATAAATTGTATACTTCGCATAATATTATCCTTTCCACAAATTCTAAAGGTATTTTTTGTATCTTGAATAACTATACCACTTAATCCAATGAAACTAGGGCATTTTGATGCAATAATGAAAATTTCAGCACCATGAAAATCTATTTTAATTAACTGTTGATTAATATTTTCCCAATTTGGATCAATAGGATCTTTTGGAATATTCTTAAGAAATTTGGTACCCAGTACTTGTTGTATATAGCTTAACCATAACTGATTCAATGGTAATAAATCTATATACTTCATGTCACTCTTGCAACTAATTTTACGTAAACCAAGTTGCATACGTTTTCTACTAGTTAATAACTTTCCTTTACATCTTTTTTCCTTATTCCATTTACTTTTATGTTTAACAAGTATCAATGACTATAAAACAGTTATAATCTCAGTTTATTTTGTGATACAATATTTACAATTTGTATTGATATTGTAATAATATAATATTGTTATAGGAATATAGTAATATTTCTTATTTCTTATAAATATATTCTATTGTACCTTTCTTAATTCTTCTGCTATTGAACATACATCAGAAGAAGGCAGTGCATTTTGTAGAAAATTTGTAATATATTGTTCACTATTTTCACATGTACTAATTTGTTTTGTTATACTTTTTGGTAATGTTAAACATATACTTTCTGCAAAAATGATTAATTAATTATGATATATTGGTATATATTAATTGATCCATAATTTTATAAATACATACGATTTGAATGTGCCATTATGAGTAATAACAGAATAGTAGAAATAAACTAACCACTGCATGTTTCATCTTAGAAAAGTATTTTAGATTAAAAGATTATCTAAAACATAATTTTTTAGGTTAACTTAAATTTAAATGTATTTAATAAGTAACGAATTATGTATCATAATGGTATATTTTCATTTCATAGCATACTAAATTTATTATAATATATCACTACAAAATTTTCAGTAAAATTTGTGAAATCAGAAATAAAATCTCTAAAAATTAGATAGCATACGATTAGATGACATATACATGTATATATGTCAACTTGTTAGAATTATGTGAAAAACTATAATAAAATAAAGATTTATTGATTTATTTCAAATGATATTGTAAATAATAAAATTTAAAATAATAAAATAATAAAATTTTCAAGTATTGGCTTAAAAAATATAAGGATACATATCTTTCTCCTATAAAATAGTAAGTAGGACGAATTATTTACTTTCACTGTATATTTTATAATTGTACTAATTCTAAAGCATAAATTTTTAAAGTATAATAGCATAAGGTTAATTTTTTCTTATATATCATATATTTATTTATGACTATTTAATTTTGTCTACTTTCACGTTCATTATATTAAAAAATCTAATTTTAGAAATCAGTAAAGGATAGGTTATATTCGTATAAAAGTTACAAATGCATACAAATGAAATTACGTTCTTGAATATTAAGTAAATATATTAATATAGGTCAATTTTATTCTTATATTAATGAACGGATTAACAATTTATTTATTAAAATAATATCAAAATTAGAAACATTATTAAACATATTTAGTTGATTCTGGAATCGAAAGTTGAAGATTTTGGGTATAAGAAATATTGCAGAAAAACTCAGAGAAAGAAACTAGAAACTTAATGGTAGTCTACTTATTGACTACTTGAGTCAAAAGTCGTAGACAATCGTGACATGTATGAACAGATCGTGGTTTGAAGTAAATGTATAGTGTCAAATTAACCATGTTGAAAGCATATTTAGGATCATAGAAATCAATTGAAAGTAATAAACAATGGTGTCAATAATAAAAAAGCAACTGTTGAAACATTTATCAAGGTACGTACATAATTAAACTGTTAAATCAGTTTCATCATCTTTAATTCGGTATAGAATTAAAAATTATATTCTTTAGTTATGTAAAGTAAGCAAATAGTAAACATTTGCAATAGATAATCGAATTTATTATTAATAATAACAATTATTATTATTATTGTTAAATTCGCAATAATTTTTTTTATTTATGTGCACAATGAATATGATGATTCACAGATAATTATTCAAACTTATTTAATTATTTATTATATTTGTACTATGAACATTTCAATATATTATATATAAATTTACATGTATATGTTAAATTTATTATGAAAAGAGTACTTTGTTAAAGACAGTATTAACATAAATGAATTTATATAAATTTGTAGGTTTACCAAGAATTTATCTGCAGATAAAATAAATTTAAGTACATTTAAAGGAGAAGGTGAACTAACAAACTTAGAACTTGATGAAACAGTTTTGACTGACTTATTAGAATTGCCATCATGGCTTAGATTAACAAATGCTTGGTGCAATAAAGTTTCATTTCGTATACAATGGACCAAGTTAAGAAGTGTTCCTATTTTTTTGGTAAATAATATATTTGTGTATATAAATATATGATTTATATATAATTTTATACAAACTTTTGAATTATTTATTAATATATTTTTATTTTAATAAAATTTGATATTTAATTTTTAAAATTTTAATTAGATTTTAATATTTATAGAGTTTGGATGAAGTTCATATAGAAGTAGAAACATGTGAAGATTTAAGAGATCTATCTTCTTCGCAAGGACTATCTTCATATACTGGTCCTGCAAAATATTCTTTCATACATAAAGTAATTGATGGTATAACAGTGAATGTTAATACTGTATCTGTCACATTCAAAAGTCCTGCATTTATTGCTTCAGTTCAGGTATATAATTTCATTGTTTTATGATTTAATGAAATCTGTATTCATGTCTTTGTTATATTGGTTATTTATTTAAAAATTACTATAAAACTATTATTTTACTACAGATGAATCGTATTATTGTGGAGTCAAAGTCTGCAACGTGGCAACAGTGTGATCTAAGAACTACTAGAGTAAAAGATCCTGATCGTGGACAGTTACTTATTTTTAAAGAATTAGAATGGCAAACGGTTAGAATAGAAGCACAAAGTACTAAGGATAAAAATCTTACGCCGTTACGTTTACTTACAAATCAAGCAAGGTGTAGAATTACCATCAAAAAAAGAATATCAGGTTAAAGCTACATTAACATATAAGAAATATGCTTCTGATTGCCTTTTTTTAAATACAATAAATTTATATGATATGTATTTGTATTTTAGATTGTTTTGTTATGGGATCAAGACTGATTCTTATATTAGATGATCTCTTGTGGGTTTTGACAGATTCACAGTTGAAGGCAGCACTTCATTTTATTGACTCTTTAGGTGGTCTGATAGAAAAAGCTACAATTTTAGAACGTAAAACTAAAGCAGCTAGAAAATTAGAGGTTTGTATATGCAAGCTTAGAAAATAGAAAAAAAAGAAAAAGAAAATAGATCATTTTAATTATATTTAATTATATTTTTATTTTTTAAGGTATTGCCAGAGTATCAAGCACAAATATCTCAGCAATCAAGAACAAAAAATCAGTATAATACTGTTATCTCTAAAATCTTTACAAGACATGATGTTGTGGAAACATCATATCATTTTGTTTGTCAAAGGATTGATTTGCATTTATGTGATGATGCTGGTAGTAAGTAAATACAAATTTCTTATTTTATAGTAATAATAATAATAGTAGTAATAGTAGTAATAGTAATAATAATAATAACAACAACAACAACAATAATAATAACAATAATAATGATAATGATAATAATAATATAAATAATAGTAATAGTAAGAAATATAGTGACACTAATTATGACAGTAATGACTATATTATTTTAATACAATTTATTTTGTACCTAGATGGTAGATCATCTCATCCTGACCTAAAAGATGGTGGTGCACTACAAATTTCATTAGTTAGATTTCAAATTGATTATTATCCATATCACTTAGCAATGGCTGATAGAAAGCATTGGCTTAAGTATAGAGAGAATGCTACTCCTCACAGCCAATGGTTACAGCAGTCCTTAAGTTCTTTTCGAAGTCAGTTCATGGATCTTATTGATTCTGGTAGAACACAGCATTCTCCTTTAACTAGAAGTCAAGGAAATGTTACAGGTTTGTATTTAAAAAATGAAAAGTCAATAAAATATGTAGCTATTTAACATTGATAAAATATTTTGTCTTATCTCTATTCAGTCAATAATACAAAAAGTTTAGGAGAAAATTTGGAAAAAGGTAATCAATCTCAAAATGTAAATACAACTACTCATGAGCAAAAAAAATCGCAACATCCTAGTGGCAATCCAGTGAAAAATTATATTTTGGAACAACTTGCTAAATTAATGACAACATGCATCATAATAAGGATTGATGATTTTACCTTGTACAAAGTAACAACAACATCTCGTAATCCTGTACCAAAAGAATTTGTTACAGGTACATAAAAGTTTCATGTTAATTGAATTAATTTATTTAATAGGTTTATTCTTTAAAATTTAAGAGAGTTCTCATATAATGCCAATAATAATTTCATTTAATAATTGCACAGCTCAAACAAGGAAGAAACACGCATCAGGTACAGATTATAAATAGTTGTAGTATATTCATATTAATATTGCATTATAAGTACCAGTTAAACATAGCTTCATGTTTGAGAAATTTTGTTGCTTCATGTTGTGTTATTATATCTTATATGTACTATATCGTCAAGTATTAATTTATAACATGGTGAAAAACATTTTAGCAATCTTATACATTTAAATAATTAATAATACATGTGTAATTAATCTGTAGAGTATAATTACTATACAGTGTAATCTGAAGTGTAATTATAATATAGTTAAAATATAATCATAATATAATTTGTTTTCTAAAAACAAATATTTGAAGCACAATTTTTTATGCTTTTTTTAAAAGATACAAACTAGTTCTATTACTACAATAAATAATATTCTATATTTCTGCTTAGGTAGAATTATAAACTTTGAAGATAAATGATAGTATAAGGTAATATATTCATGAAAAGAATTTTTGTATGTACTATGTATTACGTTTTATAGTAAAATATGTTTTATGATTTGCGAAAAAAATTAAAAAGATTAAAAGTATGGTAACAAGACCAAAAATAAAAAAAAAAACGTATTGATAAATATATTATGTTTCACATTTATGCATGTATTATGTCTTTCCATGTTACATGCAAGGTACTTAAATTATAAAGATATATAAATAAATTATAATTTTATGAAGTAATTAAGATTTAATATACTATATACAAAGAAACAGAACAGTTTCCGTATCTTTTAAAAAAACATTTAATAAAGAACTTATATTCATTTTAAAGATTTTACGGACTATATTATATAGATATCTATAAACTGTTACATTTCATGCAATTATTATGCAATAGCAGTAGCGAATTTACACATTGGTGGTGTAGGTGGATGCCTCGGGTCCTATAATAGGGGTCTCCGCACGATAATAAAAATGTGTCTTATTCAATCAGAAATTCTATATGTAACTCAAAAGAATATAAAAAAGGTTTATTTTAAAAAATCATCTTGTAAATACAAGCAAGAAATATAGTCAAAACAGGAAGATCAAAGCTATAGAGCCATGTGTACTGAAAAAAATATTTATTGTGCATAATTGATTTATTTTAACACTAGATTTATTGACCTTAAATATATACCTAACTGTAATTGAAGCAACATCAACTGTATGTTTTTAATGATTGAAGAAAAAGAATATCTAAAACTAGTCATTTTTACTAGTTTGGTAGTTTTAATGTAAATAGTATTCAAAAATTTATAACACATTAGGTTTCTTGAAGACTAAATCTGCCACTGCTATCATGGTTTGCATTTTGCAATATATAACATATAACATTATGTGACTTATGTCATATGAAGTATATTCATAAAAGCATGTACATTATTGAAGATTATATTTAAATTTTTATTGTATTTTATTGAAATATTTTTATGTTGTTTAGGTGACAGAGATAAATTTTGTCTCCCAGAAGATGTTACAATTGTTCATGCTGAATTTACATACTATTATTATCCTGGAGATATTACATTTCCATGTATGTAAACATATAATTGTCTTGTCCTCTTTTGATTGTCATTTATATTGATATCATCATTATTACTATTAATTATTGACAATAATATTATTATTAATAGTATTTATATTTATATTATTGCTATTTAAATTAATCTGTAACTTCATTTATTTTGTAATTATTTAGTGCCACCGCCAAAATTTTATGTACAACTAAATCCCATCCAAGTAAATTTTGACATCTGTTCCTGTTTATGGTTTAATTCTTTTGTATTAAATTTATATCGTTCTCTGATGAATAAAGATAAACAAGCAACATATACTTCCACTACTTTAATGTACTTTGATGTGAAAATTGAAGCTATACTTCCAAGGGTAAATATTAACATATTTATGTTACTCATTAATATTTTATCTTCTTGTACTTACAATATAATTATTATTTTGCAGATAGTTTTCGAAAGTCAACAAGATTATCCTAATCAAAAGGATAGGCCAAAGTCTTTACATATTCAGACTTCAAGAGCATCAATAACAAATGTTCGATCCACAGAAAGATCTTCAAGAGCAGATTTAGCACAGTGTGTAAATGCTTTTCAAATGGGTCAGATGTTCTTCGGTACGGAATTTCCAAACAGATCGACTGATTTTCATGTCTTATCAGACAAATTTTTGGCTCATTGTGGAGGTAAAAGTTTTGCATATGAGCATATTTTTTAATGATATATTTACATAGTTTTTTATATTTCAAATTTGTTTATTATAGGAACTGATAATATTCGTTATCCACCACCTAATTTTAGTAGTAATTCCGTAAATGAATTAGTTCGTCAATTACATCGGGAACTTTTATGGACTGAAGCGAAAGATGTATGGTGTTGTAATCTAGAACCTGTTTGGGGAGATTTCCTCGGTGCTCGTGCTGTCGGGCAAAATCGTCCTGTACCGTTTCTGGATGCTTTTCCGTTAACTTTATGGTGCTATATGTCTATGAATTCATTAGAAAAAGATTCATTGGGGCAAAAATGTACTGCTGACATTCATGGTCTCGCGTACATAAGTAATTTAGTTAGTGTCCAAATAAATCATTATCAATATTTGTTCTTGTTGAGACTGTCGGAAGTTCTATCAGAAATGGCAACGTATCTAACTATCGACTCTAATAAAATATTAAAGGTCGATTCTGACAGCTCACTCGTTATTGGTGCACTAATACCGCAAGTAGAAGTAACATTTGTTATGCCATCACACACTCCTGGTAAAGAAAATTCTGGAGGTGATTTGGAATCTGTTATGCCAGATTCATCTAGCATTGCAGATGACATTGCAGGTACATCTATTCCATGGCAAAACACAGAACAAGTTGAGAGTAACACTAAAAAGAGTAATATAAATTATGTAATTGTTACACCTCAAAGTGACATATCATCGATGATGTCAATGGATTTTGCACATCCTATCAATACTGCTCAAACTGTCACCTTTAAACAAAATGGTACAAATAAACCAGATCTACAAATAAGGAATGTGACACATGATAAACAATGCATTGGTATAGAAGAAGAGAAAGTACTACCTATTTCACGATATTCTATTGATACTATGCATAAACACAGTAAAGGAGATTCATCTTCAATTACACCATTTATTCCTAATAATTTCAATGTTGGTCTTTCTTCTATGAAAAAAGGATTGAGTAATTTAATGACATCTATTGATTCAGCTTTGAAAGCTTCACCAGAAGATGGTAGTAGTGATACTGTGTCTATAAGGAGCGATGTTAGTTCTGATAGTGAAAACTACATTTTAGTTAATCTTCAAGATCAGGAAAAATTGGATACAATGTTTTCTGTTGATAACTCAATCAGAATAACAGCAGTAGAAGAAGCAAGTGAAGTAGTTGAAGAAATTCCTGATACCCAAAGTGAAAAATCCATGGATAGTGTTTGCAAACGGAAGGATATTGTAAATTTATATTTTATAATATAATAATATAATAAAATTAAATATTTTGGTTAAATGTAATTTTTTTTTTAGGTATCTATGGTTACATTCAAATTATCTAAAGTTGAATTTATTCAACAATCTTCTGGATATGCATCTTCAATCAAAGTTCAAATTTTTAATATTGGTAATGATGAATGTTCATCTATTCCATGGGATGAATTTCAGGTAAGATAATATTCTTTTCACTAAAACCATAAACTTGTTTGTTGATTACATACAATATGCTATTTTGAATCTGTTAAATAGACTTAAATATCGAAGTTTTTTAATATTGCTACAGTCAAAATTGTACTGTTTCTTAGTATTATTCTTTCATATAATAATTTTATTAGAAAATTTTAACTTTTTTTTTTTATATAAAGTGCTTTTTATTATATAAAAAGTTAACATTTCTGATTAACACAAACTTAATCATTTATACTGAAAATGTTGCTCTAAAATTTATATTACAATTTAGTAAGATTTTTCAAATATATAGTTTAAGCACATTAAAATCCTAATATGATATATTATTCAAATAATTTTTAAGTTTTTTGTATAAAGTTCTATTTGGAATGTATTGATAACTAATATTTTATTTCTAGTTACATAATTCCATGTGCCATAAAATTTTCAATTTTATTTCTAGCTTCATATTACATACATTACAAACATTTTTATATTATATATGTATATTTATACAATGTTTGTCTTTAACTTTTTTGCATGCTTCTCCTGCGTCTCTCCTTCTCTTGTGAATGTTTTTATGTGGCACTTGTGGCAGGTCAAGAGAAAGGTATTGGCAAAGTACTTATATATTTATTTGTATTAAATGCCTTGTATTATGTACGTTTCATTGCATGTTTATCTTTTCTGAGTTACTTATGTCACTATACTGTACAAGTTGCATATATATAAATCTTTTGTAATTAATCATTCCAATTTTTAAGAATTAATAGACATTAGTTTTTTAAATTTTAGATAAAATATTTTAACGAATAAACGAAAATATCAAATAAGATAAGTGACAATTTGTAGTTCAAATCATTGATATATAGATGATAAATTTTTAAAGTATGTGACAATTATATGCAAGTTCATTATTAAATTATTCAGTTGCATTACAAGCAATTAATATTTTATTATTATTTTTTCTTTATATAAACAAGTGTATTATGTAAATCTATTTAAAGGATACATTTTTAGTTTTATAATAAAAATTTAGAGCTTCTGTGTTCTTAATTTCATAATATGTATATTTAAATACAATAAGTTTGTGTAGCATGGTATGAAATAATGCTTAGCTGGAATGAATTTGAGAAGCTTTTAAATGCAATTATAAATATGTGTAGTTTTTATAAATTTGCAAATATTATAAAGTTTATATAAATTATAAGAAGATGAAAATAGTCTATAAAATAAATTTAATAATCTTTATAGATAAAAGTTTTCTAATTTAGCATGTGTATAATACATGAAAAGTTAAAAATGTACAATATTCATATTCAAATGTTTGATTAAATTTACAAACAATTATATAAAGTTTATCCTTATACTAAAATTTCAAAATTGTTGTTAATAAGAAAACTAATATTAAGAAATTAATCTGAATAAATATTGTTTTTTGTTTAATATATGCAAGTAACAATCTTATCACTATACTGCATTTCAAGTATATTCTATGATTTTATAGTATATCTTTTATAATTTTTCATTTATACTTTTGTTTTAAAATGTTACAAACTTATCAAAAAATAAAATAATAGTGTTATATTGTAGAACTATAAATATATCTATGATATAGTTTAAATATTATATACATATTTTATACACATTTATTTTTTTAATATTTTCTGTTTATTAGACAAAATTCAGTGCACGATCTCGAGGTTGGGTAGAATTACTTTCTGATTCTAACAGTAGATCATGTATTAAATTACGTTTGGATCACGATTTGAAGTGCCAGTCAGATTCTTGGAAACTGTCTCAAGCAAGTCGAATTATAAGAAATAAAAATATGCATTTATCACGGAATCAAAATCATAATAATTTAGTTGAACAAGAATTAGACGTCTCCAGTATTGATGTACATAATAAACAAAGTGTTTTAAATTTATTTGAAGACAAATTAGAAGTTAAAGTTACTAATATATCAATGGCCTTGTCTATGAGTTCAATAAGTGGGCTTACAGACTTAACTGAAGATGAAATTATTCCTAGGCCAATACCACTGCAGGTATGTCAAGTTTGATCATATTATCTTATCTATTAGTTCAATGTTATAAATGTAATTTATAATAATCTAAATTATATTTTATAATCCTTATTAAAGATATACTTGGAGAATATATCATTGCGTTTAAATGAAGATCGTCCTCCGAATAATATAACTTCGCCAGGACCAATTCCTATAGATCTAAATATTACAAAACTTAAAATAGTACGAGATTTCAATGGAGTTTTTCACATTGAACCAGTTGGTAAGTAACAATATAAAATGAAATTTCGTTATTATCAGTCATTTGTTATTTGTATAAGAGAAAATATACAATAGTACTTAATGTAGTATAGTAGAGTAAGTTTATAATACGGTAGAGTTTTAAAGTATATTTAAGTAGCAAATTTATTTAAAAATTTATTTACTTTTTTAAAATTAATATTGTACCTTGTGTAATTCTGTGCATTCAGATGGCCTTTCTAATGTGAGCATTTATATGAAACAATTAGAAATATAGTAGTAGTATTTACTGCTTTAACAATATTGTCTAATAGGACAATGAGTAAATAGAACTTTAGATTTGCATTTAATTAGGCATGTTTTACTTTCTTTTAAAATTAAAAGAAAATGTTTTCTGTTTATTATACATGCTTATTACAATTTTTAAAAAGTACACAATTTATAAATTAGCATGAGTGAACAACATATAGAAATAATAAGGTACAAAATATTACCATGTTTTATGACACCGCTTATTGTTCACAAATAATTTAAGTAAAATCTATTGTTTATTCACCATCTATATTAAATAAAAAGTATTTAATTTTTTAATTGGTTAAAAAGCAATTTTTAATTAGAAGCACAAAAGTTTTATGTGTTTTATATATTATTATAAAATATATTACTATACATTACTAATATTAATTTAATTAAGATATTTTATTTCTAGTAAATTTGTTGAGCAAGAGTAATTCCCTTGTGACACTCACAAATAGTGATACTCATATAGCTCAAAATACCAATCATGGAATGGAATTAAACATTTTGAAACAGTCTAATAAACAGTTAGAGTTAGATAATGAACAACTTCGACATCGTCTCAATGCTTTGGAAAAATTATCAGAAGAAAATACAAAATTAATACGTATAAAAGAAGAATCTGACGTAATAAAATGTCATTTAAGTGCAGCGCAAGAAGACATACAATTGCTTCTGAAAGAAAAAAAAGCCTTGCAAGAAACAATAACAGAGCTTCAAAATCGAATAATTGGAAGTGGCCCAGGCAGTGGAACTCGTGCATCTTGGTCATCAAAGAGATAGCATACTAGTTGTTTTGATTGTTCTAAATGTTGTAATTCGAATAAGTCGTAATAATAATTTTATTAATTGTTAAGTAATTTTCATATTATTGAAAATATAGGTAACTACAGTTGAATTAATATATACTTTCGTAGTGTCTTTAACTAACTAAGGAATGGTATATCATAAAATGCTTGAATATTTATATGTTTTTTTATTAATATGTTAAGTTTTTTTTTTCATAAAAAAAAACGCGAATAATGTGCTTATTGTACTACGTTATAAGCAACGATTTTTTAAATTATGTTTTTTGTGTTTTTTTACATTATTATGTCTACCATGTTTATGCTAGTAACTGCCGTTCATCTAATTGAGAATGCAATCACTGAAAAAACAACCAGTTTCGTAAGATGCACTTACATGAAATATACTGATTTTTTACTATGAGCAAGTACAAGGCGATAAATAATGGCAATAGTAGTCAGTGTGTAGCATTTTCATTAAAAGATAAAAAAACATATTTGATGGAAATAATATTCCGAGTATGTACACGCGTAGTTACTATATGCAGTAACATGTTAAGAAGTGATGTATATATAAGGTTGTTAACACACACCACGCACACGCACGCACACAAGCGCACGCGTGCCCCCACACATACAATATTTTATATATACACAATATATATTTGTTGCATATGTAGATACGAAAGATACACAATATAAATTATAACATGCTAGTCAAATTAGTGCAATATGTGTTTGGTTTTGTAACAATGATTGTTACCTAGTATGAAAACTAAGAATTGAATATAAATTTTTTACCAATACTTTTCGTTCTCTTCGTCATTAATATTTTGACGAATTTCATAAATAACTTTTAAAGAAATAGAAAAATATGACATGTAATATAATAAATTTGAGATATTAATGGATATTGAATGTTGTTTGAGTCTATAGATAAATTGTCTAGCTTGAGATTGATGTGGGTGACATTGTATGATTAATATGTGTGCTGCATGCCGCGCGCGCGTGTGTGTTTCATAAGTATGGTGTGTGGGTGTGTGTTTGTGTGTGTATATATTAATTTATTAAATATATATATACACTTGGTGATTTGATTAATTACGTGATAAACTAGAATGATTATGAAAATGACTATAATATACAATATATAGTGATAATCTGGAATGTTTTGATAAGACTGTAAAATAGATGTTACTGTATCATTTTCTGTTTTTCCATTAAATTAAGGATGTGCATATATATTTATCGTATATGCAATGTATTTATCATATCCTAGAAATTAATAATATTGGACTACATTAAACCAAAATTGCAATCTAATAGTATATTATAATGGACTAATAATTTCGTCGTAATGTATTGTGTAGTGTCTTGACATTTTATCATTGTTTGTTACTGTCAATTTAATTTCTGAAAAAAGGGTTGCTGGCCAATTCCCTTACCGCAAAACAGTGAAATATTTTTCTAATGCGTATTAATGACAATTGCTAATTAGATTCTTTTTATATTCTGAAATTCTGTTTTTAGAAAAAGAAAACAGTCTTTTCTACTATGACACACTTATTAAATTTAGAATGAACATATTTCATAAATAAAACTGTAAAATGAAATTTTATAATTAATATATATTAATATAAGATATGTGAAGAATAATTTATTCATATTTAAATATTATGCAAGACATGAAAATCTCGATTGTGTTCTATATTATTTTTTATTTAATACTTCAAGTATTATGCAAAAGTACTTATGATAAGAATAGGAAAATAAACATAATTACTGTTTAATTAAAATAAGATTTTCTTATATTTTTTTAATAACTAAATGTAAGTTCCACTTATATTTTATTTTTGAGAATGTTACATTTTTTAAAGCTGTATGTAAACTTTATTATCTAAAAATCTTTGATCATTTTTATTACAGTATATTAAATTAAAATACTATGGAACATGGTTAAAAATGCACATGTAAAAATAATTTGTAGACGAGAATTTGTTTCTATTATATGAAAATATGTTATATGTATTATAGTGGAATGGACTGTATATCTGTAATTGTATGTGAATAACTTATACATCTGAATATTAAATTAAGTGTGAAAGTGTTAGATATTACTATTAAATTTAAGCTATATGTTGCAATGAGATATCCAAATTTTGCTTATAATGCTTTTCTGTTATTTCCTTGCATATACAATTATATACTTCTAATATCTGACAAAACAATTTTTGAGTGTTTTAAATATTTTATTGAAGGTTGTAGATATGTTATCTTGTTGCATCTTTTAATTTAATCAAGTTTTTTGTTATGAATGTTATTTTAGAATGCTTCCTTTTTAATAATATTGTATTTCAATTTCTGCAAATATATTCATAAAAAAGAATATTTACATCATTGTACATAAAATATATTTTATTTTTAAATTATATATGTCACTTGGAAATGCTAAAAGTTAAAGATTTGTGACTGAGTATAAATTATCTTGATAATGAAATAAAATTTAAAATATCATTTTAGTGACTTTTTTAAAATATTTACTCTATATTTGATGAGTTATTCTTTCTATTTAGATGATAAAACTGTAAATTGCATAAGAAATTTTGTATAAGTTAATAACTCATTTTTTTAAATTGTTTTTATTTTTTGTACATGTAATATGTTCGGAGTGTTTCTTCAATATCTTTTTAAGATTTAAGAAAATTCTAATACTTTATGGTTTTTTAACAATAATTATAACATTTAAAATATAATTACAAGATATTTTTGACATCTGGCATTAAAATTTCTTTTAACTTCATTTGTAAAAAGCTATTATACCAAACATATTAATACAAAAATTATTAACTTATTCAAACTTTTTGTAAATCAATAATGTATAAGAATTCTAGGTGATATTTAATATTTATATATTAAGTATTAAGGATATTAAAAGTAAATATTTATAATATAATTCGTAAAAATATTATTATATGTTAGTATGTTTATTACAATTGTAACTGTTATTAGTTTAAACATGCACTTAAATTGTAAATCATTATTAACTTAAATGTATTTACTGATAGTATCATTTTATATATAATATTTATTAATGAGCATGAATTTAATACAGCTCAAAGGAATTATTTTTCTATGCTTCCTTACCTGAATATTTTATATTTCTTTCTTTTAAATGCATATTATGACAATTGTATTGTGATTTATAAAAGTCTGTTATAAAAATACAAATGTAAATAAAATAACAAAATTTAAATTTTTGACTTTCTAGAAATCTTGAATGCGAATTATATAAATTTTACATATTTATTTACCAATTGTATATGATAAATATAATTGAATAAGTAACAAATAATAATTTCATTTAAAATCATATTGAAATAATAATTCATTGAAGTATAAAGATTTTTGATAAAGATAGTCATAAGTATATTAATAAAGATGTCACAAATATTATATTATTTATTATATAAATATTGTACTATCATATTATTTATACATAATGTACAAATTAACGCTTATTAATTATTGTAATGTTATACAAAATTTTTGTCCTGCATTTGTTTTTATTAATATAAATTAGGATCTTTTTTATGTTTATATTTTCTCTATATCCATAATTTAATAATGCTTCAAAATAAATTTTGTAGTATATTGTACATATAGTATAGGAAAATATATAGTTGTGTAACTATTTGTATACTTGTATAGTACTTGCTATAAGTACATTGCAAAATTAAAAAAAAGGCGGGGAAATAGTCGCGCATTTTCGTGTTTTCTCGGAAGTTTACGCCATCATATCTGTAAGCGAATAGCGTCTCCAACGAAAGGGGCGACAAGTGCCACGGTCGAACTATTTACTTGAATCTGTGTGCGAGTCGATTTAGTGTGTGGGTCAAAGCGAAGGGGCAAAAAAGAAGTCACCCAAGGAATCACTGCCATCACACGTAAGTAATGAATATACACCTAATACAGTGTGAAAAAAGGTCGTTCTCGTCGATACAAATATTCATAGTTGTGAAACCTCTGCATTCAAATTAATTTTCCATAACATTGGAACTGGCGGTTGAGTACGATACACTATAAGCTGTAATCATGTTCCGTACAAAGTGGTAACACGCTTTACTTTGATATTTTTGCTTTTTCTATAAAAAACATGTCGTGTTTAATCGTAATATGTTTAAATTTTCTCTTTTCAGTAAGGAACACGATCATTCATCTTTCTATCAGTTCTTGCAAATGGAGCACAGTCATAAGAATACCGACTGTTATTTTTTCTATTATTCAACGTGCACAAAGGTATGTATTTATTATTAGCAAAATGTACGGAATGTTTATTACATTTAATTGTCACAATGAAATTCTACATCCTCAATAGATTTGTTCCATATTGTTTCTGATACATTGAATTCGTGAGGTTAGATCGGCCATGTTGGAGACAGGTTCTACGATATCCTTCTTTTTAAAATAATTAGTAAATCACTTTATTTATTTATTACAGAATTGTTTTTGTTTCTTTATTTCACAATTATTTTAACTGTTCAACTATTTTAAAGTATTTAATTTGTATTGTTTGTTTTGTTCATATTTGAAGAAATTTGTGTCATTGATAATTTTGTTACTAATTAAAAATCGTGATATTTAGCGTTATGTATAAATTGATATGAATTTATTTTTGAAATGTGTTACAAGAAATATAGAATATGTTATGTGAAATAACTTTAGATATTAAAAGTTCTGATTATAGTTTAAGTTGCAGTATTTACATTATACACGAGCACTGCAACAATTGATAGTCATAATATAATTCCTTATTATTTTATACTTATTATACTTTAACATATCTTTATTTTATAAATTTTCACTGTCATTAATTTATTATTATATTTATAGGGGGATAATTGTCCATTTAGACATGAACCATCTGCCTTGGGTTGCGAAACAATGTGCTTATATTGGAAGCAGGGTAAATGCCGCGATGAACATTGTACTTTTAGGCATATGGAATTAAGGGTATGTATATTTTAAATATAAGAAATAATAAACTGTTAATCAAATGTTTAAATAAATTATTGATATTTAATTTTTATTTTTTTAAATAGAAAAATCGTAAGTTGATTCCATGTTATTGGGAAACACAACCAGGAGGTTGTAAGAAACCACACTGTTCATTTATGCATAAAAATGCTCGTACAATTACAAATGCCCCCATTAATCCAGTGAAAAATTTTGATTTAACATCAAACACAATGAATCAAGAATGGTCGAATCGTCAAGGTAAAAATATCTTACTGTATAGGATGTTTTAAAGTTAAATGATCAAATTATGTCAATATAACTGATGGTTTTTTTAAAATTACTGTATTATGTGTTACATACTATTAATATTGCAAGAACGGATTATTATTACAATTAATGTGTTTTGTTAATTCAGAAATAAATGACATTTTCTATGTGTATTTATAGAATGTACTGCTAGAGTTTAACTGTTTAAATTTAGAGCATCCATGACATTATAATTCTACCAAGTATTTTTAAATCGATTAAGTATTATATTGCTAGTTTTGTTTATATTATGAAATATTTTTAATTTTTAATAGATGACACAAAATATGATGGTAGTAGCACTGAGTCAGATCAAGGTAGGGGAAGCAGTGAAGCAGGCAGTTTTATTGGCAGTCCAGCTGTTGATCCTCTTATCGTCAAATTTGAAGAAGGTATGAGGCTTTACTAGCCCCCCCGTCCATCTTTCAGCGTACATTACCTTACGTCGGCTACTCTTTTCCTTCCACCTAATCTAAAAATGAGCATAAATATTCAAAATGCACTCAGTATTCCGAGCAATCTGACAATCCCTAATAATGTTTCTAACAGTCTCAACATACTAAATAATATCAACATTACGAACAATTTGAATATACCACAAGCTAATGTACAAAACTCACAAAGCTCTCCTTGTCATCATGCATTATCATTTTCTCATCCTCAAAATCTGCATTCACATTCTCCTGGTCAGTCACTATCTCCATTACAAAATCAACAGAGTTCTCCACTCCTTCAGCAGCCATCATATTCACCTATTCATACTCAGCCAACTTCTCAGCCGCAAACATCAAGATTTCCTTTCCCATACCTTGAAATGACGTCGTACAGACGGTTTTAAAGTTGCCAGGAATGTCCTAATCGTAACAGTATAAGTTTCTATCGACCAATAACCAGCATAGAAAAAGTATGTTAATGAAATACTAAGACATGGGAGAAGAATACATATAAAATTATATGAAACAACTAGACATTGTCCTACAAAAGCTGGTGTAAAGTATTGTATAAATATGTACAAGCATATACAATACTTTATATAAAAAGTGAGAAGTTATACTTCCTACTTTGCAGTAAGAATTATCATAGATTTTTATATTGATTGAGCACCAGGAATGTTAGTACATTTCCGATACTTAATCGATCTTCACTTAATTTATTTGATTCAGATATACAAATTAATATGACTAAATTATTTAGGAAAGAAAAAGAAAAAAATATTTAGTCTCTTTACAAGAAAACAGCTTAAGCTGCATCAATGTCATTGAAAACTTATATAGTATTTTGCTAATAGTAATGGCTTTTAATAGTGTCAGATACATGTTGATGTTTTGTAAATTTCCACAAAATAGTTTTAAATTTCCTCTTCAATAATAAAGACTGCACTACTTAGAGTTCATTGATACATATAAAATATTAATAGTTTTTATTTAGCTTACATAAAAGATAAAAAAAAATATAAGAAAGAATATATATGCAAGAAGATATTTCATTAGTTAAGAATATATAGTAAGAAGCAATAGGCGGTCTATATCGTCGTCTTTATTATTGGATAGAATAAGATCATAAAATCATATTGATATGTGAAAGATTTCTTTGAAAGATCATTTTAAACATTTGTGTACATTACACTTTAAAAATATAGTCAAAGGTGTGTGTTGTTTTAATATAATGATTGATTACATATATAATTTTGTATACACATACAGTGTATATCACAGGGAAGAGGGATAACATGCAACATTTAGATTGATTCAATGACACTGTGTTCTCAATGATATTGGTTTAAAATTACTGGCTAGTCATAATTGGAATTAATATTTATATTTGAACACAGTTATGGTTGCATTACCATATATCATGAATTAGAAAAGTTGAGAATAATTGTACTGCCGAAAAAGAGCATGGTGACCTAATCATAAGCTAAAAAGAAAAAAAAAAAAGAAAAAAAATATAACAGAATAGAATAAAAAAAAAAAACAAAAAATAAAAAAAAAAAAATGCTATATCTAAACTTTGCCTGTAGCCCTCTAACTGCCTATGGCTATCTTTCTCCAACGGCAGCGCGATGAGTCTTGAACTTTCCCGAATGCCGCACAATAGAAAAAACAAGATCGAAGTACCCACATCTTTTCGTTATGCTATAACACTAACGACATATGAAACTATACCGGATGAAATAAGAAGATAGCTATGGGTCGTCGCTTTGCCACACACACACGATTTGAACTCGCACAGATTTTTTAATAATCAATTCGATATCCGAGACTGGTTTAAGGTGAAGCAATTAATTTAGTTTTGAATGGAAACTGAGTTTTGATGTGTTTGATCGTTTGAAGAAAGCCAAAAAGGAAATACTTTTGTTAGAAAGATATGCTTGAAGCATAACCTATTTGTGCAAGGTGATAAAAAGAAAAAAAAGGAAAAAAAAAATGATGTTTCCAATGTACCTTAACATGTATTAACTTCTTATGTTCGTGATTTTTAGTATGGTTATGCTTTAAGCTTAATAAAGCGTTAATCGATGACAAAAAATTATTCGAGTCGAATACTGCCTCAGATACACGCGCACATACGTGCTTTTTTTCTCGTGTAACATTGCATGTATTGTTACATGTGATGTACAATAATGCTTTTCTTTTAAAAAGAAAGATAAAGGCGAGACGAACGAACAAGAAAAAGAAATACATAAGTTTTCATTTATAGGGATAAGCAGTATCCGATTCAACCGTAATATCCCAGCCTGATTTATATAGCGCGTACACACTAACTAATATGATAAATGCCTTCATATGTTTTGGCTTCCCACACGAATTAGCGAATTTTGATATGGCATGGGATAATAATAAATAAATGAGCAACAACGGTAGACGAAATTTGTTATAGCAGCGTATAGACTGTTGCGATCAAATTTTTTTGCGTTATATGAACAGAAAGAAAATCGATCGCAAATTTTTGAAATGTATGAAAGCGACGAACGAATCGAGCTGCACGAGACAATACAAATCTTGAACTAAGTTAAACTAAACTAAGTTAAAGAGTTTGTCTTTTGAGTTCGAGTAGTTTTCACCTTGCAGCATGTTTCATTTGGCATGAAATGGAGAGAAAATCTCCACAGTGAATGAGAACGAATGACAATTAAGCTAATAAACGCATCGGGAGAAATTTTTGTTCTAATGACTTCTTTTAAGAAGTTTTATCAAATTTATGGATAAGCCAGTGTTAATCGTTCGATCTCGACCGAGGGAAATTTTACAGGTTAGATGTTTCGTTTCTTGTGCTGATGATATCTTCATTCGATTGTGCTAGATAGTCTTGTGCTTCGTTCTCCTTCGATTAAGGAGAATGAATTTCCTTTCACCGAGCATGAAAGGAAGTGAAGTGCGTGGAGATCGCACGCAAATATTAAATGATTGAACAGCGACGTACGACATTATACAATATAAATACAATAAAGCTACGAGCATAAATATATAAATATATATCTTCATAAATATATATTTATGTATTTATATGAAAGTATACGCGACATAGAGAAAGGTATAAGCGCTTGCGCTAAGAAGATGAGAGAATTCCTAAGGGAAGAGAAATATGCGACTTTATATCACGTATTGCATGCATACACAGATACATATTTACATATACGTACTCTTAAAAAAAAAAAAAAAAAAAAAAAAAAAAAAAAAAAAAAAAAATATAAATTTTGTTTCAGTCGCATCGTGGTCGAGTAATATTATACGTCGCTTCGTTTATTATTAGAATATTAAAAAGAAAAAAGAAATGTAGACTTTTTCGACATAAGAATATTCTAGATTCCAGTCAAAGCAAGAATATATATGTACATATATATATCTATATATATATCTATATATATACATATATTCCTTATTTTTATTACGGAATACTATTTGCGCCTAGATCCGCACAAGAGATATAATGGAAAAAAAAAGTTTAAGTGTAATCTTCATTACGAGACTACCGTACAGCATAATGAAGTAATAATTATATTCTATTTAACTGCTAACGATATTATTCACGATCGAGATTAATCGTCGCCGTGTTAAAATGTCATCATCGATCTCGCAAACGATGAATTCGGAATTATTATTAATTCTACGACTTTATATGGGTAGAATTCTACGTTCTAGTGCCTAGACTTTCGTCTTCACCTCCTACTGAATTTCTCTTTCTTATTTTAATGAAAGCAACAAAAAAAAAAAATGAAAAGAGAAAAAAGATAGAGAGAAAAGAAAAATATATTCGTTTTAAAAGTTGCACGAAATATTTGAAGGATGAATAACGTGACTTTAAATCTCGAGATAATGCACTAGGATCTTTTGATTTTGTATGTAATTCTTGAACGTAAATATGCGAATGAAAAATATGTGATCTAGATCGAGAAACGTGAACGGGGGAGGGAGAGGGGATGAAAGAAAATGAGAAATGCAAATATAAGCATGAAAAAGAAAGATTGTATATTATAAGCGAAAGATTAGGCGATGTGAGGTGAGAAAGTGTGTGTATGTGCAAAGAAGAAAATATTCCTTAGTTTTTCGTTTCTTTTTTTTGTTGTTTATTAATTGTTTTTCTGACCAAGAGTTTTGCCAGGGAAAAATATTAATTTTTTTAATGCTACAAACAGTTATGTATTATCGTTTTCGAAATCTGATCTTATAATGTATTCTTGAATTTAAATGTAGAAAAAAGAAAAATCCACAAAATATGTGATAAGAGCGCACGGAAGAATATAATACATGCAGAAAGTACCGAGTCAGTTCGATAATTACAGGCCTTTGTAATTATTGATATTATTGCATGAAAAATTACTTTCCAATGGTGTTTTGTAATATATATTTGCGGGTAACGTAAAATAGAAGATCATGTTCGCGGGAATTAAAAGTAAGGAAACGAAAGATAGGAAAAAAAGAAAACGAAAAAGGGAAGAAAGAAATTAGAGGATGGCAAAAGACGTATTGAAAGAAAGAAATTTTAATAGGTATACTATCTAAAAAAAAAAAAAGTACAGATCCGGGGCGAGTTTCTCTGAATGAAAAATGATCGTTTTAAATGCAACAAGATCGTCTTTTGACGCGTTCTCGTGCAGAAAGTGCAATTATCGCTTGTTCTCTTCGTAGTACAAGGCCTGTAACGCGTGTCACTTCTTCGCGAGTGCGTGTGTGCGTGTTTATTGAGAGACGAAATAGTTGTAAAAGTGCTAACTTAAAACGTGTTTAACGCAAGAAGAGAAGGAAAGAAAAGAAAAAGAGAAAAAAAGATGAGCAGCTGGACTCGTGTCGCCGGCGACGACCTATTAATCACTATTTATTAACCGAATTTTATAATATGTCGTTTGTTTCGTTTGCGTCGCGTACAACCAACCAACTGATGCATTCAGTCGCTATTATTCATTATCGGGAATATCAAAAAAATTGATGGGAGAATTACGTGAAGTTTGTCGTCGATTAAAAAGTTGATTAGAAACATTGTTTACTAAATATTTGTTAATTCAACACTCGTTCTAACAATTTAAGTTCTTGTTTTCTATTGTACTTTATAAGAAATTTTGCCGTGAATCCTTGTAGTTTATATAGTGAACTTTATATATAGCTTATTTTTTTTTTCTTTTTGTTTCATTGGATATATGGAGCATCAATATTCTTCGAAGATTTCGAATTTTAAAACTTTCCTTTTTTTCCCTTTTGTAACGTACTTCTGGAGTTACGTGTTTATTTCTTTTCCCTCGTATTAAGGGCTATTTGACGCTGGTTTTCTTTTCTTTAATTTTTTCTTCTTCAGTCTTTGGTTGTTTTTCGTTTTTCTTTTTTAATTTTTTCTTTTTTTTTGTAATTGTTGGTTATCGTGTGCGTCCAGCTGCAATCATTGTTCTTAATCATTGTCCTCCATCCGGGAGATGGACCTTTATTCGAATTATATTATATTACTTCGTCGATCGATGATTTTTTTTTCTGTCTTGTTCCTCTTCCTTTCTTATTTATTGTTACTGCTGCAATTGCAGTGGTGCGACCGTTATTATTTGTCATCCGCATCTCTGTTGTATTGATATTGTTACTTACGAAGATTTGCGTTTTTTTTCCTCCGATTGTAATGCACGTATACCGTGACGATTACGTTCCGGAAGTCACGTGTGCGATCCCTCGATTAATGACAATTTCGAGATTCGAACATTTGTCTTTGTTTCAATCGTTCGTACAGATAAAAAGAAAACCGCAACATATTGTTAAATATGGACATACTACTTTCAAGATATATTGAATATTAAAATAGAAAAAGAAACTTAAACGGTACTTAATGATCCATTTGTCCCTCGAAAGAATGAAGAAATGCAAGAATAAGAGAAATTGTCGTTACATTCGTTTATAACTAGTTGGAAAACACTTTGGCGTTTAATAACGAAACAAGAGGCGAGCAGGTCCCTTCTTCAATTTAACTAATAAAGAGGGATTTGATTGAAAGTGTGATAGAGAGAGAAAGGGAGAGAGAGAGGGGGAGAGAGAGAGAGAGGGAGGGAGAGACTGTGAGACCGAGAAAAAGAGAGAGTGAGAGAAAGAGAGTGTCAGAGAGAGTCAGAGAGTACACGAGAGCGAGAGGAAGAGTGGGAGCGAAAGAAAGGGGGGGAGAGAGAGAGAGAGAGAGAGAGAGAGAGAGAGAGAGAGAGAGAGAGAGAGAGATTTATACGCTGAATATTTGAACATGCGATAAATAATTCCATACTAATCGATGTAAACGAATGGAAAACATTAATTTTTACCGAGACGATTATTTGGATTTCAATAAACTTGATGCCATGAAATGAAAGGGAAAATGACGCCAGTGTGACAGAGACGGTTTCCTTAGTTTTGTATTTGTATTGTATAATAATGTACGAGTTGTGCTTTCTGCGATTAATCATGGATTAGTTGAATTAAAGACCAATCGTCTTTGTACACTGGTCGATTAGTTCTTGATGCTATTTCTTTGCATTTGTATCGAATTCACTCATCAGAGCAAAGTAAGACTATCACAAATGACAAGTGATAATCCTTTAAACAAACGGAATCTTATCTTTCGTCCTATTTCTGCATTTGTCCAGGGAAAATAATTGAGAGTGGATTGTATATTAATCTCTCTTGAGAGACAGATTTAATCGGTTTCATTTTAAAGTTATTTTTATTTCTCTGAACGAATAAATAGTGATTACAACAGATGTTCCCAGTGTTGAGATAATGATCGTATTTGTGATAGTTTTTCTTTTAAACTGGCGATACACTGCGTTTCGATGTTTTTCAGAACTTCTATTTATGTTTTGCGATTTGAATTCGCGACTTGTGTTTTTGTGAAACTTGGAATGCTTGCCGTTCTTTTGCGTAGAGATTGTATATTGCGACTCTTGAAATTGTGAATTCCTCCTAGTGACACATTGTGTATATTTTTTTCACGCCCGGAATCATTCGATCCACGTGGCAGCGAGTGGATGACCGATTTAATTTGTAAAATGTTCACAAACATTGTACCTAATTAAAAAAAAAAAAAAAAAAAAAAAAAAAAAAGAAAAAAGGAAGAAAGAAAAAAGATTTTTCGACAGCTACCACAAAAAAAAAAGAAAAATATTAGATGATAATTTCATTCGAAACTCGGATTCTCTCGTTATTCTTTCATTGTTGAATTTTTTCTTTTGCACAGCGTTGGTATCATTGATCGAATCTTTGACTGTGTTGTGTCATTACCGAATATGTCTCCACGTTTTCTTATTTTTTGGTAAAAAAAAGAGAAAAGAAAAGGAAAAGAAGGAAAAGAAAAGATAAAGAGAGGGCGAAAAAGAAAGATAGAACAAGAAGGATATTTTCTATTGTTCACGGATTGACTCGTGAAGTACTTCTCGATTGTTTTTTTTTATCACACTTGGAGATAGAACTATGAAAAGGTGAAATTAAGGATAGAGAAAATACCCAAAAGCGACAAATTTTTAAAGAGACTTTTCAAATATAGTCGATTAGTAAACAAAGAATGAAAGAAAAAAAGATAGAAGGAAATAAGAGAAAAAAGAATGTATGGAGACAATGACGACGACGGCGACGATAATGATTCACCTATTGGATTTTAAGGATAGGTCAGGAGTATGATTTAATTACCTGATCGATAAAACGGAGATATCCGTACAGGTAGATTTCTAATATCCAGGGATGGTGCTAGTTTCGTTCATGGCTTCTATAGAGTTAAATTGTAGGAAATCATACCGTTTTAAAATGAACAATACAGAAAAACGTATTGCATAGAAAGAGAGTGGAAAAGAGAGAAAATAAGCATAGAGGAGTTGGCTGCAGGGAGAGACAAAGATGGATCACCCGACGGTTTATATCCAAGGAGTGTCGATCAAAGTATTGGAATTGTACTATACTCCTTATTTCTATTCCGAAACAAAATTTACTAGTTTAGAACTCGAACTTTCCCCTGTAAGTTCTATCGGAGATCGAAGGCTGCTTAAACCTATAATAGAAACGATAATAACACGATAACAAGAATGATCAGAGGTGCAGGATTCGACTTAATCGCTAATCTACGATCATAACTCAGTTTAGAGTTAAGAACCTTTAATCCATTTTTGATGTTAAACCATGCTTGGATGGCGCTGAATAGAATTTCTAAGCGAATTAAACAACAAAAAAGTGATCAGTTTTTTCCAGTATGCAAAATAGCTGTAACATGTTCTAAAATAAAAAAAAAAAGAGATGGAAATGTTTCGAGAAAGATAAGGACTCTAGCAACTCTGTGGAGCATCCTCGTTGATCGATCACCTAAACAGAAATTCCCGCAATTTCGTGGTATGTTTCTTCCAGAGTCGGACAATGAAAGTGTACCGTCTCCGGTAAAGCCGCAGTCGAGGGTCCCTTACTGCAAGACTTATGAGGAGATTCGCCTAGAGGAGATCCAGGCCGAAAGTGCTGCTTACTATTCCTATCAGACCGAGGACTATCAGACCGACGTGGGTGGTGGGAAGATCAAGACACGTAGGACCAAACGGATCTGCCTGTATCCTCCGGTTAGCAAAGACAAGAATGGCGAAAAGGGATTGAACTTTGAGGTTCTCACATTGGATGAAATTCGTCGACGAAAGACGTGCAAAAGTCTTCAGCAGAAGGAGTCGAAGAGGATAGAGCCGAAGGGTACGATCGATGAAAAGGAAGATCGAAAATCAACTGCTGAATTTCTGAAGGACGCTATGAAGACGTTAGCTGAACTTAAGGAAACGATTTCTGTTAGGGGAGTAAAAAGGCCGTTGGAAGATCGTCAGGAGGACACGTCCAAGCGCAGATTGGTGTGCAGCGTTGTTCGTACGAGTTCCATCGTTAATAATGTGCCGCCTGTCAAACTTAGAAGATCTCCAAAGAGGTTTACTTTTCTCGAGAGTGAGATCGAAGAACGAGGTAGCATGAATAGGTTAATGAGTACTGATCAACAAGCGGAGATCGAGGAGAAGACTGCGGGATCTTGTAGGGATAGTCCAAAATCCAGTTCCATGGATAGATTGAACGAGTCAGAGCCTATGAGTTCGAGCAACAAATGCAGGAAGAGCGAAGTGGAGATCAGGTTATGCGACAGTAGCACAGATGAAGATCAGATGCCATTAGATAAAATCGATGAGAGGAAATCGGTTGGTACGTACACCGTGGAAGATTCGAAGGAGACCTGCGACAGTCTGTTAATCGAGGAAGACTATCTGACGCTGGACATGGCGTCAGATGACATTTTGAAGGACATCGACGCGTTACTCAAAGAAAAAACCTCGGTCTGAGGTAAAGGCTGAGACTGGACCGACGAAGGGACAGGTACTTATGAGAAATCGACTGGAATGGCGCGTTCATTCTCCTCGGTTCGATCGTTTCGCTTTCTGTTGTTTATCGATCTACGGAGAAATAAGGTTTCGTCGTTCGACTTGCTTTTCACGCTGTTTTCAAGGTGACAAAGAGTCGTCGATGCGTTCTATCTACTTTTCTTTTGTCACGGATAAGATGAGTCGCTCGACTCGTGCTACGATGTCAATGAACTTTTGTTGTTGGTTCATTCTTAAACACACGAAGAGGATTATTATCGCGTTGGTCTACTGTTGACAAACGAGTATAGTGTTCATGTAGTCATATTTTTTAGTTAGATTGCTCCGTTATAATTGGTATCTCGTTTCACGTGATACGATCGGTTCGTGAACGGATGACGAAGGATTTTAAAGACAAATCGTTTTACTATTGACAATCAGTAATGATTTTGTCCCGTTGACGGTTGGGTGAGAGTCAATAATAGCAAAATTTGTCAATATCCTTACAGTTGAAAATGATTTCTCTTGAAATTTCTTTTTTTTTTAGATACTGTTTATTTAGCAATGATTGGAAGAATTCTAGGAAAAAGATTTTTTTGAAATCCTGGGAAGAATAATTTTCAACGTGTGTTAAAAAATGGTTCGTCAAAGTTGCTTGTTTGTTATGCTGTTTTTTCTTGGTTCGATAATCATGTGGTTTTAATGCAACGCAATTTGATTGGATCCTTTTCTGTCCTGCAGTTTGTATGTTGTAGCATTTGATCAGAATAATTTTTGAAAACTAATGCATTTCTCCCAATTTTTATTACATCTTTTGTAATTTTTCTCAGATCACTTTTCGTGTTTTATTCATTTGAACACATAAAATCAAATCTTTTCTACGTTATATACATGATATATGTACGTGTACAGGGCGATTTGTCTATCTTGAGTACATCAAGTTATTCGTAAATTGTTGGTTGTATGAACAATTGTTCTTAACATTGGAACTATCGATCTGTAATATGTAATAATTAGAAACCAATAATGTTTCTGGTAATTACAAAAATAAAATTTTTAAAAGTCATTTTTCCTGATTTAGTAATTCTAATGTTAAGAACAATCATACAATCTAGTAATATTTAATAATATTTAAAATATTTCATTCTGCAATTCTGAAAATTATCAACTCTCCGTAAATAATTATTATTTGGGATTCAAGAACGGATTGAGATATTCCATAAATTATCTTTAGTGTAAGTATATAATGCTCAAAATGTAGTTATATTATTAGTATACTATGATGAGTATATTGCTACATGTCACATTTAATATACAATTTGTGTTCGAAACATTTATTCATATAATAGTTTACTAGTAATTTAAAATCTTTCTGTTAAATGAATCGCCCTATACACTTGAATAGTTGCACTTCAACACACTTTTTGTTTTGAATTATGTCAAGATATTTGTTAAAAATAAGTTATTAGAAAAAAGCATATTTTTTGTTGTAGCTTTCAAGTTTATTGTCATTTTTATTTCTTTTTATTGGAATTATTTCTATTTTCGAGCAATATTTTTGTTTTGTCACGTCATTGGTGATAATGTTTAATTGCTGTTATATCTACGTGGATTATAATTTGTCAAATAAACATGGAATATGCTTTGAATGAAATCACGAAAAGAATTTCAAAGTTGTGAGTAATTCATTGATTAAAATAATTAAAAATATTAAAGATAGAGATTTATTAGAATATTGAAAATTAAAATAAAAATTTTCGATTTAGCCAAATTTGGTGCAATATTATATAACAACGTAAAAGAAATTTGTATCGATTCTATCATTTTCAAAATAATGGAATGAAACTTTAAACTCTCGAGGACTGGATTCTGGTTTGAAGTTCTATTTCATTCTTTCGAATTATGTAACATTACTGTCTCAAAATATTTTTACAAATATTCAACAACAATATTCTTTTCTTAAACATTTCATTCCATATTCGTGTAATTACTAATGAATTTCTCGATTATTGGCCAATCGAGGCGTAATTCAGGTTGAGGACGAATATAATCCTTTATGGTTCAATTACCTTTGTTCTCGTACATTGCTGACTTGATACAATTAAATTTCTTAAAATTTATTGTATTCTTATAATTTTAGTTTCTTATATATAAAGGTGTCGGGTTTCTTTACGAGTATTTGGGAAAAGAAGAGAATGTAAATGGATATATAAAATACGTTAGTGTTGAATATTGCGTTTAACATGGGTTTAGAAATAGAATAGACTTATAAGCAGGACAAATGTTGAAAAATGAAATAAATCTTAGAGATAGGTTTTAGTCTTTTAAACTGCCGGCTTTACAGGGGTCACCTCAATAAATTTGGATAGTCATAAACTGGGATAGTCGAATGGTATTCATTATTCATAATTAAGTCTCAGGAGTGACACAGAAGAGGAAGGAAGTGCATTTCTTCTCTTTCATTATCAAGTCGAAAAGCTACATCCTCATATAACACTAATCAAAAATACGACACCACTTCTATAATACAGTTTCATTAACAGGAAAACATTAGAATTTACTCAGCCAGGATTAAAAAACAAATAGAATTTGAATAATTGATCCTCTGCATTCTGTTGTCGTCATTGCGGTGACATAAATAACGTGCAAATTGTTATTTAGTTTTATTTTCATCTGTGAAAAAATAGAAACGGAGAGAATGTTATATATATAAATGCACAGTAATTTATAATTTTTATTTTTTAAATAAAATTTTTGGTTTCCAAAAATTTCTCATTGTAAAATGGAGTATTGTATCCTAACATTCTTATGTATTGGCATTCTTGAACAATTGTGTCATGAAATTCTCAAAATGCAAAGGGTTAATTAAGATCAGACATCAATCAGTAAACAGAGACAGATCTCGGATCGCAATTCGAGATTGAATCTTGATCATCTCTCAGTAGGATGACATGATTAATTTGTACAGGTTTTGTAAATATATATAAATTCAATATGTCATAATATATTTCGTCATCTGTTCGAATCATCTCTTCGATTATTAACACTAGAACTATTGACCTGTAACGTGTACCTAAGTATAATATAGATATATAATAATTGTTACGACATGATTAAAATATATGATTAAAATAAATAGGTATATAATAAAAATAATAATATAAGAATATAATTCAATAATAATAATAATATAATTACATAAGCAAAAAGTCTGAAACCAGTCATTCTGACTAATTTAATAGTTTTAGTGTTAATTTATTCGAAGGTCATGACACATGTAAGTGATTGCTACCCTAATTTTCTCGTTACTTTGCATTGTACCATGTTGTTGCTCTTCGAGGTGGTTATGTCAAAATTTTGTTATACGATATAATTATAAATGTATTTAGAATTTCTCATGAAAACCATAGTTTGTATAGGAAGAACGATGTCTGTGGGTTTAGGTCTGGATGATTTAATATTGATTCTTTAATCAACTCCTCTATTCTTCTGTTGATTATCTTGCTTTCCCTTTATAGTGTCTAGTTTGGTTTTCACTATATTTGCACTTCTGGTGAGAGATACAACAATTATTTGGATTAAGTCTTTTCCAGTTTGTTTGTTACTTATTTCATTATTCAAAATTTTCATTAGATACTCTAACGTACCTCTAGAAATATAAGAAACTCTTGATAGGTTGTTTATATCAATCTTATGTTATTTTCGGTATAGTAAAATTTTATGTATATCATTTCTGTGACGAATTTCGAAATTCGAATTTTGGAAATAATTCTATGGCAAATTTCGAGAAATAATTCCTCTCCGATGTAATTGATATCTTACTGTTTATTAAATGCTCAAGTACAGAGGGTTCAAATATTTACTGGATATTTGGTTTATCAGTGGAACAGCGATATCAATTTATTGTTAAAATTTGACGATTAAAACTAATTATTATTATATACGATATTATATAAAATAATAGTTGTGTTACTTTAATAATCTGTAATTATACAATATTATCGTTATTGTATAAACTATGCGATTAATTAACTTTTAAATACTTAATGATATTTAATTATTCATCATACAAACGAGATATTCCTATACAATTTACACTAATTATATTTTGTTATTATAAGTCTGTTCAATGCTATAGTGATTCACAAAGCACAGGTCGTCTATATTAATATTTTGAATTAATAATGACGAGTAAATAAATAGGATTACATACTGACATAATAATTTATCAGGACACGGATTTTAAAAATTATAGTAATGTAAATGTATGTTATAATATTATCGAATTATTATAATTTAGTTTTTAAGGTTATGACGTCCTCCACGAACAAATTGTCATTAATTGGAAATTCTTGAGGAAATTCTTTCAATTTTGAGATAACAGTAATTTACAATGTTGTGCATGCTAGTCATGTCTTCAACTAGCTCAACAGAATTCCGTGAAAAGTAATTTTGTTGCTGTAATAGTCCTTCTGATCATATCTGGTGTCATAAGAATTTCATAGTAGTTTTCATATAAATAGCATACCAGTACATGCTGACTTTGAATATTTGGATGTCATCGCAGGGAAACCTTTAGTACGTCCTTCATTTCTCTCGAATTGGTTTCTTGAGTCAAAATTCGACTAATGTTACGAGTTAAACTGTCGATCCATAGATTATGTTTCTTCATGTGGTTATAAAACCTGTATTATGTAGTTATAAATTATATTGATCAGATGTGTATGCAATTTTTATATTATTTTTCCTGTCAGATCTATCTTGAGTAACTGGTCCTTATATGAAAAGCGAGTGAATGATGAAGTAAAATCTTCCAGTTACTGGACAATTTCATGTGATTGTTCGAACGATTAACTTCAATAAATTACTATTGAAAGGTCATTCGATATTTTTCCAAATTATATTGTATGGTCCTGTATGTATAATTTTTTCCAAATTATATCGAAGGATTCTAAGACCATTTTGAGCATTTGAAAACGATT